TTCCTTTCAATTTCTCATGTCTATTCTACAATTATTCTCTAGTACACATTAGGAAATGCTTGTCAATTCTGATTCTAAACACTAAGATGTCTAATTGTATAATTTCATGAAGTGTCATGGATATGTTTGTATGTCTGTGTATGTGTGTGTCTGTGTATCCATCATGTAAATTTTGCAACAGGTGTTTTACATATATGGTTTATACAAAATATATTATGTATATATTAATCATGTAAACTTTGACAAATGTATTTTTATATTTTTTATAGTTCATATGACTTATAATATATATGATATTCACTTTGACAAATGTATTTTTATATTGATTTTTATAGTTTGTATGACTTATACATGATATTCACCATGTAAACTTTGCTAAAAATATTTTATAGGTTATATGATATATCAAACATTATATATACATGTTATCTATGTGTATGATATAAATACACATACATACATATGTATGTATGTATATATATGTGTGTATGTGTGTGTGTGTGTGTGTGTGTGTGTGTTCATGAAGTAAACTTCACTAAAGGTATTACATCTAAATCCACTGTAGCCAGAAATACTGTTGCTCTCCCTAATAAAACTTTCCTCTTTACACTGAAAGTCTTAGGCAGTGAGACTAGTTCTAGGCCCTAAGCTCATCTGAGTTTTTGAAATCTGCCCTCCTCCTTTGGAGCCCGCACACATTATACTGCCGTTCGCAATAATCTACTCTTCAAACAAGATGATCACTTTCATCACTACTGTAACTTCTCAAATTAGGTGGTCCTCCCCAGAACAGATGCAGCCAAGAACAGCTTCAGCACATGGTGAGGCACACAGCAATATAAAGAGCATAGTGAGGTCCTTCTCCGATTGCTGTAGATGACCTCTCTGTCTCTCTGCCCTAAAAGATTAGGAATTCTCCAGAGCAGGGACATAGTCACACACACCTTGATATCTTCAATAAACGGAGTTCAGCCACATTGCCGAAGAGACACAAAGATAGAGTTAAGCAGAACTAACATTGGGCAACTTTAAGAGGGGAGATGCTCCTTTCAAAAGAAGAAGGAAAAAAAATGGTTTTGTAAAATGTGTCAAGAGCACAGGCACTTTCAAAGTCATTATGTGAATGTGCTCTCTGGGACCTCTTCCTGCACAGGCATTATACATGATGCATCATTTTCAGCAGATCATGAGTCAAAGTAGCCATATGAAGGTGATTCAGACACAAACTAGGAAAACGCAATGAGCGCTTGAAGTGAGGGACCAGAGACCTAGTAACCTACTTGAGGTGGTCAGGTGACTCACTAGGTTTTGAATTTGAAATTTGGTTTGCCTCAAAAATAGACAACATCAAAGTTAGATATGAAAGTCTATTCTTCGAGAACATTTCAGGTGCCTTTTAGCAGCAACATAACACGGTCTAGAGCAGACATCATCTGCTCTTGGCACATATTTTGATATTTAAGTGTGTGATTATTGTTCTCACAGCATATAATTATGTTAGCCAATAAATACTAACGTATCTACTTCAGTTCCACGGGAGTAAAGATAATTCTGGAGGAGCGAGAGCTAATTAACTCTTGCTTTCCTAAATTAGAATAATTGAAAAGAATAGACTAGACCAAGCTTTGATTTGAGAATGGAACAGACACACTGAAAGTAGACTTCAATCTAATTATGAAATTATTTAACTTAGAGGTCATCCTAATTATTATTTTAACCTCATGAATGTTTTGCTTTCTTTTTTTATGGGAAAGTGATTCCTAAGGAACAATGTCACTTGTGTGACTTATTTCATGAGATTTTCCAGTAGTAAAACAATTAAAAATAAATAAAAACCAAAGTCTTAATCTGGTTTTAGAACAGAGAGTGAAGCAAAAGTCTAAGCTCTGTGTCCAGCTGTATTCACACAGAAGTCACAAACATAAGTCATTCACCGCCAATCTCTTGACTGCTCTGTCCATAAAACATGTGCACTACCTGGGCCTCAGAGAGCAAGACGGCTCAAGAGAAAAGCCATGTGTACGTGCTTCACAATCAGTAAACTGCTGTCCACATTGTCAGTGATAATGAGTTTGTGTGTACAGGAAGGCTATTCAGACAGTAAGACCACAGCTGAATGACCAATCAAAATGCACTGGTTTTTATGGGAGGCATGTGTGGACACAGAACTAAAGGAGAAATATCACATCAAGGAGAAAGTGCCCAGCAGAGTCTTTCCCACACAGCAGCATCTTTGGAGCTTCTTTGTCTCATCATGTTTTGATGGGGCATTTCTCTCTCCTCTCTCTCTGTCTCTGTCTCTGTCTCTGTCTCTGTCTCTCTCTCTCTCTCTCTCTCTCTCTCTCTCTCTTTTGACTCACACGTTCTTTGCATACATATTGTGACTTCTGGTGTTGTGTTTTTATGGGACTCTCGTGTGTATGAGTGTGTGCGTTTCTACATCTAGATGTGCTTCTTGTGCTTTATCTTTGTTTGTTTTGTTCTATCCCAGTTTGTTTGCTTTTGTTTTGTCTTAATTCTATTATTATCCTTTAGATGCCTCTTGGATTTCTAAGGAGGGAGAGAGAGAGAAAGGGCATGGATTCAGATGGGAGGAAAAGCGGAAAGACTCTCAGGGGAGTTAGGGGATAGTAAATTGTAATCACAATATTATTAGAAAAAAATTTCAATAGAAGAAAACTGGAGGGGGAAATAAGAAGTCTCCAGGGGTAAAAACAGGCTAAACAAAAACCCTGCTTAAAATGAGTGCATAGAAGCATTTTGCAGAAGGTAGCTGGGTCTACTGGCAGGGAATGGATTTGCTATCCTGAGAAATTAGGTATATGGTATTATTTCTCTGATTGGTTGGAATTATAAAATTAGTTAAGGTCAGGAGACAATGTAAGCATCATTTCTAGAAGGTGGTTCCGTCTTTCCCCCTGTACCTTCTGAGTTGGCCTTGTTTTCAGCATTTCTGTTCAGAACACATTTTAGCTTTCCCCTGTTTGAGATCCTTCAAGAACTTTCTTCTACTCTCTATAACTGACAAGCTAAAATCTCAGTTTAGCATCCAAACTCATCCAGGACCTTGAAGTCAAGGCAGGCCATTGGTGGACTGGCTTCCCATACATCGTCTCATATGCTTGCAGGCCCCACCCTGGCCCGGGTCTGCACTGATACTGATCTACCGAGTCTCTCGCTGAATTCACGAGCCTTTGGGGAAGACTGTTCAGACTCTGCCACCTTCTTAAAAACCTATCGCTGTCGCCCTGTGCCCCTGCCAGAGCAGCTGCAGTCTATCTCACACAGTGCCAGGAGCTCCTAGTCAACAACTACCAAGGCCTTTGACGCTGCTCCCCAAAACACATTTTCCTTTTCCTCCCGATTCCCCACAAGAGCCGCCATGCCTGCTGGGTGGAGACCCAGCAATGACTAAGAAATGAAGTCCACGCGCACGGTGGAAAACGGCGAAGCCAACCCAGACACATCTTTTGTCTGTCTTGCCTTTTGTCCCCAATACAACTGCCAATCTCATTCTATGAGTAGGGAAGGTGGTAGGGACGTGTCTAACACGGACACTTCAATCTTCGATGAAGATGAGCAGGGAGTGATTAGACAACAGAGAAGCCGGACTGCTCTGGAATCTGTTAAAGGGTCAGGGACCATACAATGGCCCCTGTTCACCAACAAGAGCAGGGCACACAGTGCTGTGTGTACTGACAATTAGAAATGTAAAAGCACGTTAGTGTTGAACCACGCTATGACAAAAGGTCCTACCTAACTCTGGCATCTGGAATCCTGTTAACTTGGCTTCTGAGAACACAGAGCCCTGCAACGTATTTGACCCTTTCAATACTTATCCAAGTGGAGGGTGCTCTCCAGTGATAGAATGTCAGTTCCAAAAATGCAGATAATAAAAGAAAATGCAAAAAAATATCCACTTTCTGAATGGAGTAAGCAAAAATAGGAAAGGGACTTTGAACAGTGCTCCATTTACACTAAAAACACAATAACTGATTCCACTTAATTCCTCTCAGTCTAGGGAAAATCTGTCATATCCAGGCTTCTGTACCAGTATAATTCACTCACAAACTTCCAAAAGGCTAGATGTGGTAGCACACGCCTTTAATTCCAGGACTTGAGAGGCAGCTCTATGAGTTCAAAGCCAGCCTTGTTTATATAGTGAGTTCTAGGCCAGCCAAGACCTAGTCTCAGAGGGGAGGAAGGGAAAGGATAGAAAAATAGTCTTTCAGCTGGGCAGTGGTGGCACATGCCTTTAATCCCAGTGCTTAGGAGGCAGAGCCAGGCGGGTTTCTGTGAGTTCAAGGCCAGCCTGGGCTACAGAGTGAGATCCAGGACAGGTTCCAAAATTACACAGAGAAACCCTGTCTTGAAAAAACAAAAACAGAAAATAGTCTTTCACTTTAGTGTAGGAATCGACCTGTTAGGAGTCTCAAGTCCTCTATAGCATTCATCATTACTACTAACAGCAGCAACAAAGATAGATGCTTCCTCAACAGACAACATAAGGAACTGTCTTAGAAAAGACAGCCCCTCGCTAGAATCTTACACAGACATGCATGCCAAGTCATATATGTAGAGACTGCAACAATGTGTAAGTGGATATCCACAAAGACGGGTTCAGAAACCGAGCACAGCCATGAAATGGGCTGTGCTTTCCTATAACAGCCCTGTGAAGCACCACTGGGTTGTTTTTTAAGGAAGATGCCGACAATACACGTTTATAAAAGTTACCGCTGGTTATCTAGCATGAGTTGAGAGTTAATAAAGACTAACTGTTCTTAGCATGGTGGTGCATGCCTATAATGGATGCGTTTGGGAGAGGGTACCGGAAAGTTGTGACTTAGGGTACACAATGAGCTCTTGTCAGATTCGGGGGTGAGGGGCATCTTGGACCACTGGCTTTCAGGAGTTGGAGAAAAGAATGAAAGGCTCTAAGACACACTTCATTTTCCCAATAGAGTGGAGACCACAGCTGGACCAATGTGGAAAGCACTCACCTGTGGGGGCCGAGGCTTATAGGGAGAGCTGCACTCCAGATCAGCCAGGATGCTGGTCAAGGAATCGATCTCGGCATCCAGACTGGACCGCCTTTCCTCCAGGGTCTTGCCTCCAGGATTTCCCTGCTAAAAACATACACATTAAAATTCAATGAACCTCCACAGATAACAGCATGAGTTCAAATATTTCATGCTATAATCTGCTCTTTTGCACTGTTCCCATATGCCTTTTTTTTTTTTTTTTTAAGTTTTCATCAAATCTTAATAAGGTGGGCAGGAAGAAAATTATCACTTTTTGACAGATAAGAAAACAGAAAAAAAAAACTTGAAATGTTTTCTTCTAACATCATATATTTAGACACTCTGATGAAGATTTAAGTAGAAGAAATTAATGCCCCAATGCCTGCTCTATAGGACCAGAATCATGGAGGCCCTCTGCACTCAGAAATCACTGATGGTTTACTGGAGACGCAGTAGATAAGGAGGGGAAACTGTGTCCTATAAGAAAAACCAATGCTTGGTACCATGAACTGTGAAACTATTTGTTATCTGTCAGTGATAGTAGACATGTACACGTGAGAGGAGCCCAAGCAGAGCTCATAAAACATGAAGTAGAAAGAGGTCACTTAGGACTGTCTGTGGTCACAGGAAGCAGGTCACCTAGAACTGTAGCCACAGAGCTGCATAGAAGGCAGGTCACTCAGGACTGAGGCCACAGAGCTGCACAGGAGGCAGGTCACCTAGGACTGAGCATACTTGGGAAAAGCAAGCAAAAAGTTTGCCTACAGCTCAAAGCAAGGAGACAAACAAGGAGGTGTCCCTTGGGTGTAGAAGAAGAGCGAGGTATTAAACTTACAATTTTAAAGCAAACATCCTTCGTATAAAACATACACCATCAGGAACCATGCACACGAATCTGACTTCTTCCCTTTGTTGAGTCATTTCCCCACCGTGCCACTTTGCCTGGGTCTTAGAACTTATTTAAATGTGGCAAGGCAACATGACTGGAGTCTGATATACTGGTCAGCACCTACACAAAGACAGTCCGCACAAACTAAGCCCCCACAGCCCTGGGTTCACATCAGGCAAACCTCGAGGATCAGCTACACGTGTGTTGAAAGTTGGGCATCAGCTCCATAGGCCCTACACTAGAAGATCACCTTACATCCTTGTGTGTGAAACCTCTTTAACTATGGGTACCTGTCAGGAAGTTGACTACAATAGGCATCATGTGATTTTGCCACTTGGGACAAACTGCTGAGAACACTTTGTCATTTTACCCCCTCAGTCTGCACTGTTTACTTTTTAGTCATATCAAGTACCATCCAAACATTGTCTTTTAGATTCACTTGTATTCAGCCCTTCTCGTGCCCACAGTAATGCAAGATGGATGAAAGGAAAGGTGTAACTTGCTTTGGCCACACTATTTCCCCATAGTCTTGCTCAGGGTGTGAACTGTGCAAATGCTTCAGCTGGCATTAAAAAAAAAAAAAAAAGTATCAATGAATAAAGACACTGTCAATATTCCAAGGATTTTCATTCAGTACCTTTCTTGTTTTGTCAGAATCTGAGTTTCAATCTTACTCAATTTTTAAATTTTATATTATTTTATTTATTTTTAGAGTGAGGTGTATGTGTCTGTGTCTGTGTCTGTGTCTGTGTGTGCATGCGCTCTCAAGTGGGCACATGTATAGGTACCCAAAGGCCATAGCCTGCACTGGGGTTTAGAAGATAACTTTATGGAGTTCATTCTCTCCATGCGTGCTCTAGGGATAGAACCTAGGTCATGGTCATTGAATTTGCACGGCAAATACATTTACCCACTGAACCATCTCACTGGCCCATGCATGAGTAAACTACCAAGGCTGATGAATTTTTATTAGAGAAATAATACCAATGTCTCTATCACTGGGCCTTATCTTTACCCACAATGCAATACTGTGAACATCTCCAAAAAGTAAAGACAAAGATCTCTTTAACTTTGGACATGTAGGAGAACAATTCTGCACAGCCAGAGATGACACTAGATGAAAAGGCATTGCATACCACTCCACAGGAAGGCCACCGAGAACCAAGTGAATTTGGTTTTCCTGTGTATGGACCTAAAATTACCATAAGCAAAAATTTGATAGGTGCGTCCATACATACACATAGCTAGAACAGCAAAGGGGAAGGACGCCGGATCAGAGTCTTGTTAAATGCTTCCCTGAGCCATAGTTTCCTCGTCTGGAAAGTAAATAGACCATCATCTGCCCTGCCTCAACCAGAGAGCTGTTAAAGACTCAGATAAGAAAGTGGATGGGAACATACTTTGTAAATTGTAAAGTGCTATAATTACGATGATTTTCATAAATAGCATTAATTATGGCAACCAGTAACTATAAATTAATAGGCATAATATAGCTATTGTTAATTCTTCTTCTTCTTGAGGTAAGCATCACTCATTAAGTGTTCCCTTGGGGTATCAGCAAAGAGACAGGATATAATCAGGTCTTCAACTTCTATACGTTACTGTAGAACAAAATACACAGCTGCTTATAGGCTGAGTCACAGGATTCTAACCACAGAGACCTAAGTCACAGGATTAACCTGAGCCATACAACGAAAGGAGTAATTATGGAGTGCAACCAGCCCAAGCTTGTAGCCCTCCACCGGCTCCAGTCTCCTGTGCTCTCCTCCTATGATGGGACTGATCCCCATTTCCCTTTCTCAGATTAGGTTGATGTAATTGACTAAGGAGCCCCAGCCTCATTGTAGTGGCTTTTACAGGAACAACCCCCTGCTGCCCTACCAGACTTCATATAATAGCTTTGTGTCTCATTTTGAGCCTCATTATGAACAAGAAAAGGACATTTCTCCTTCCCAGATGTCTTTTTTGTATCCTGGCTCCATCCCTGGATTTCTGCCCAAGTTCCCACCAAAACTCCCTTTCTTGATACTCTCCACCACTCTCAGTACCTTTGGATTTACACACTCTTCTGCTCTTCATAAAACAGTCTTGAATCCCTCACTCTTTCAAACATGATGGCACCTTCTCACTGTGGTTCTGCCAGTCATCCAATGGTTAAAACACTTACCAGAGGCTAAAGAACAACTAGGAAGAGTCTCCTGATGCTCTGCCTGACGTTTGTTCTAGATATCGCAGGCACTCTAATAAAGAGGCCATTGTAAGGAGTTCCCACATTCTCCAGTCAAAACTAGAAAGATCCCATTGTCTGAGTCTGGCTTCCCTGAGAAACAATGCCTGTGACACAAGACTGCATGCACATTATTTGGGGAGTCAATCCTTAGGACGAATGCTGAGGGGACAGGAAGGGTTACAGCCATTCAAGAGGGTTAGAGGGAACTCATCAGCAACGTCGGCAACTCATACACCCTCTTGGGTATGGTGGTATTTTATTTGTACTGAAATGTGATTTTCATTGTATCTTAATAAATAAAGTTGCCCAGGGGTCAGAGCTATTAGAGCCATAGCAAGAGCATGGCGGCGGTGGCGCATGCCTTTAATCCCATAGATCTCTGTGTGTTCAGGGATACAGCCAGCATTGGAGACATATGCCTTTAGGCCTTGGAGGGCGGTACTTACAGGCAGTGACGAGGCAGTCATGTGTTTGGGTTTACAACCAATGAGAAGGCAGAACAGAAAGACTATTTAAAGACAGACACACAGGAAGCAGCTCTCTTTCGGGGAGGTAGGAGCACTGCAGGAGGTAAGATTTTAGCTCTGAGCTCTGACCTCTTGGCTTTCTCTTTTACATTGGTTCTGTGTTTCTTATTTTAATAAGACCGTTGGTTACATCTACACTTAGGACCTCATGGACTTGTTCTGAAACATGACCCTTCGATCCCCGAGCAGAAGGATGAAGAGAGAGATGTCTGCTCTCAGTCTTCTTGACCTTTCATTTTTTGCAACTGCGAGGACTTTCAACTTCCCCGTGCTTGGTCAAGAAAAAGAGATGGTGACAAAGAGGGCCCAGCACAGAAAGGGAGGGCAAAGGACCGATGCCAAGGGCCTCCCCTCCCCCCACTCCGCCCCTGCATCATAGCCATGCGGAGCCCGTCACTACAGCATTGACTAGACTACAATAATGAGACAGGAAGATAAAAGCCAGGGCTAAGGAGGGGTATCCAAACCCCATGCTCCCCACGATGGAACTGTCCACAAGATGTAATCTGCCACAAGAGCTATTGCCATTCACTCCACAAAGATAGGCACATGACTAAATCCCAACTAAAAGTGAAGAGCATTATATCATTTGGGGAAAAAAAAAAAACAACCATAATCTTCAGTGTCACTAGCAGAGTGACAAGGAGGTGACTCCACCATGGCAAGAGCATAGAAACAGAATAAGAAACAGAGGCAAACAAATGGAAACATGGGGCATGTGAGAGAAATACAGGTGAACTATACCGACAGACTGACCAAGACAGAACATGCCTTAGCCCAAATGTTGCTAACCTACTAACTAAGGGCAAAAGACGGGGGCACCAGCACTGAGAAAGGCAGAGAGGTTATATTTATTTATTCATTCCTCATACTTAACATTTTTACTAGAAATTAATTGAAATAGTTTGTAAAAATAAACAAGGAATTATATTCATATATCTATTCCCAAGAATAAATATTTCATCCCATTTGCACCCCATCTCTGCAAATTCTACTTGAGGCTGCAGCTAAAGCCTTAATAAAATGTGGTCCCAACACCTCCCTCCATAGCTGAGACCATCTCAGCCTGCAGGCTCTCCCAAAGCCCAAATTTGACAACATTCTTATCACAGCAGAGAAATTCAGCATGTTGGCAGTAACACATGCATATTCACATATGTTTCCATGTTTCAACACTGGTCCATCCTAGGAATCCTTTCATCTACTATTACTAATTTACACTCAGAAGTGAATCAAAAGCCACATGCTGGGGTGACGAATCTTTTTATTCCCCTCTACTTCTAGCACGGGCTAGCTTTGTTTGTCAGGTCAAGTTATCTTATAAAACCTGAATGAAGTGGATTTACCTGGCCCGTAGATTCAGATCTGACAAGCTGGATAGAAATTACAAGCATGATACCTGACTTTCTAACCACAGCACACCAAGAAGCTTGTCAGCTAACCCAGAAATCACATTTTG